TGTTGTTGTTGTTGTTGTTGTTGTTGTTGTTGTTGTTGTTGTTGTTGTTGTTGTTGTTGTTGTTGTTGTTGTTGTTGTTGTTGTTGTTGTTGTTGGTGTTGGTGTTGGTGTTGGTGTTGGTGTTGCTGCTGCTGCTGCTGCTGCTGCTGCTCTGCTGCTGCTGCTGCTTGCTGCTGCTGCTGCTGCTGCTGCTGCTGCTGCTGCTGCTGCTGCTGCTGCTGCTGCTGCTGCTGCTGCTGCTGCTGCTGCTGCTGCTGCTGCTGCTGCTGCTGCTGCTGCTGCTGCTGCTGCTGCTGCTGCTGCTGCTGCTGCTGCTGCTGCTGCTGCTGCTGCTGCTGCTGCTGCTGCTGCTGCTGCTGCTGCTGCTGCTGCTGCTGCTGCTGCTGCTGCTGCTGCTGCTGCTGCTGCTGCTGCTGCTGCTGCTGCTGCTGCTGCTGCTGCTGCTGCTGCTGCTGCTGCTGCTGCTGCTGCTGCTGCTGCTGCTGCTGCTGCTGCTGCTGCTGCTGCTGTTGTTGTTGTTGTTGTTGTTGTTGTTGTTGTTGTTGTTGTTGTTGTTGTTGTTGTTGTTGTTGTTGTTGGTAATTGTGGTGGTGGTGGTGGGGGTGGTGTTGTTCCAAGGCAATCGTTGATGTTGTTGTTGTTGGTGCTGCTGCTGCTGCTGTTGGTGGTGGTGGTGTTGTTCCAAGTCAATCATATCCAGGTTGATCAACGGAGGAGTCGTTTCCTTGGGTGGCCACATCAGTCATGCACGACAAAATCACTCAGCTGGGATGTTGACACCAATTTGACTTTGCAGGGGGTTGTCTCAAATGTGAGCCCTTTTGAATCCCAAACACGGCACTCGTGCTGTCAAACACGAGACACCGAGCGCGCCTCGTGCCTCTCGTGGAACCACTTGCCCGGCGTGAGCCCCTCCACTACATGATTTGCCTGCACATCGGGCAATGTGTCGTGATTTGAGGGAACCCTTGTTGCGGTCACCAAAATACCGTGCCGAAATCGGCTCGGCTGGTGCAAAAGGAACACTGCAGCCCCTACACACTCAGATGCACGCATGCCAGCAAGAAGAGCATGAAAAGACCGGCATGACCAGCAATAGATGTCCAGTATGTTTAGCACGTCTAGGGGTGAGTTGGATGTGCAAAAATACGACACTTGGGTAGGTGGTGCTGCTGGTGCTAGTGCTGGTTCCAAACACCACAAAGGAGCTTTCTTCTGCTGTCTTTGATTAGAGGGGGTGTTGCCATTCGAAGGAGGGCAATTAACCCTGTGACACCCTGCCATACAGCCACATGGTCGACATGAGGACCCTGTTTGTCCAGCCCCGAACCTGTGTGGTTGACTCCATTTACCTTCTGGTTTGTGGGCCGACAACCTGGCGGGTTGCCTGGCGTAGAAAGCATCCTTGCCTTCTTCTCCTGAAGCCATTGGCGCAGCTCCTTCTGGGCACCCTCCTGGCCGCGTCTCGTGCCAGCTTGTAGCATGGCAAAAACTCGGGTGGCGTCCCTTTGGTTTCCCATGGCTTCCCCTTCAAGTTTTCAAGTAACCACAAACGGCGTGCCATCCACCACTGGCGTGTCTGGAATCCAAGCGATCAGGAAAGTGTGATGTATATGTATACCAGAATCAACATGTGCAAATACACCAGTATCCTCACGTGAACGCGCACCACAGCATCAGACAGCATCACCAGCAAAGGGCTAAGGAATGTTGATGTCACCCGCAAAGCCAGGGGCCGTCGTCAATCGCTCTGGTCATGGCCTTCGTTCAACTCAGCCCAATGACTGCCTTTACCAGCTCAAACATGAAACACAACGCACAGGATCAAGACTTCATTTCCAAAGAAACAAACAATATGCAGGACTGCGGTCCTTGTTTTCCACTCAGTACAAAGGAGGCGCTCATTTGATTGCACATGCAAGGTTCCTGACACTGCCTTTTGCCCCCATACCATCGTCCGTGTATGGTTCCATTCATGTCAACCTATATTGAAGCCCTCTCTTATCAACCTTGAGGTCGCAAGACCCCAGTCCTCCCTGCTTACCTCTTCTGAGATTCGGAAGAAAGAAGACTAGGTGGACAGCGCAACACGTGAGCCTTGGTCACAAACTGCGATGCCCGCACTGGCATGGAAGTAAAGCGAGTCCCCGATGCTTTTCGCAAGTTGACCGACTGGACTTGACCACACCTCACATGAGATACCGCCCGTCAGGATCTGCCCAGAACAACAAGATATGGATCGGCTTTTCTGGTGTGACGGTGAACATGGAAAGCAACGGCACGGATCAGCTGCTGTTTTCCCCCGCTCGAAGCTCTGGTCGATCCAGCCCTCCTTTTGAGGACTGGGCAGTCCAAAGCCATGAGCCAATAGACTGACTGCGTCGGGGTCATTCCTTCTTGTCCTTCTCCCTTGTTTTCCAAGGCAGCAGCCACAGAAGCAAGCACCTCGCAGGCTTGCATGTTCAAGAAGAGCGCTATAGTCCGGGTATATATATGTATATATATATATATGTATCCATGGTACCCCCCCCGGAAGCTACCATTCATAGAATTCACTGGTATTTCCAGTGTTGCTTACCCGTTTTGGGCTTTGGGGAACGCATCAAAACAGGCACAATTCCAAGGACAACATGAAACCGCATGAAAAGGTATCACATTTGTTTGGCTGATTGGAACAATGAAACCGAATAAGCAACAAATGAAAGTTGGTTCGCCCGGATTCAAGATTTGCAGCGAAACTTTTCAAGGGAATCTTGAATCTGGGCCCCGAATAATGTGTCAGACTAGAACCGAGGATCTCTCACTAGGACTAGGACAAAACTAGGACTAGAACCAAGGATCTCTCAACTAGGACTAGGACCAAACAATTTAACACTAATTCAATACTACTTGAATTTCAATTATAATGATTTCCTCTACATTGTCTTCATGACTTGCACATCTGGGACTAGAACCAGGGATGCATTGACCAGGACTAGGATCAAACTAGGACTAGACGATTTAACTCGAATTGTTGTAGACATTAAATGTCAAGTAGAATGTCCTCTATAACTTTAACCATTGCAGTAGCCTACAACCAAACTAGGACTAGTCTAAGCAACCCGAGTTCTTCAAGTGATTGTATTTCAGGTATTATTCCTCCAGACTTTCCTTAGTAAGTTTTAAGGGGGGAATCAACATCCATCGGACCGCATGACATGCATACACACATGACACAAATCGACATAGACAAAACACGAATCGAACAGGACGAACATCAATGCAGTTGACATAATAGGCGGACGTAACAGCTGGCAACAATGGTCTGCATCTCCAACGCCCACCTGAAGCGTAATTGTAGAGCTTGCCACGCTGCCAGCTGCCAACAAGTAGCATGGCCAAACAGGAGGTAGCGCCAGAACTCACAATGCAACCCAACAAACACCAATGAAACACGCCAAGTCTCACAAGGCAGCGCCGACACGCAATGAGAGCTACGCACACCAAGCCTCAACGCAAGTCCGATGTCGAAAAATGTTGAACGTATCACAGGCTCTGTCAAACAATGTCAAAACACATCTTAATCAAGATGGCCGAAGTTGACACAATGTGCCGCTTCTAGATGAGGGCTACTTGAAGACGGGGCTTTATTTGGTTGTGAAGAAGACAAATTTCGGGTGCGGATTTATTTTGATATTTTTTACTCCGGATTTTGTGTTTTTTGTCCGGGCCAGTAAGATGTCGTATTTTACAGCATTTTCTCGCAAGATTGACGCATTTTACACTAGCCCGCCAACATCCGTTTTCAACATCCCTCGCATGTCCGACCAACATCCCTAGCATCACCAACAAATCGTGGGTAACAGAATCAAACAAGTAGCTGGCGGGTTGACGGGGTCAAAAAACTAATGATTCAAATAGGAGGGCATTTCAATCCCTGTAAAAATCAAAAAGTAGCGGGGGGGTTGGCGGGGGGCGGCAGCCCCCCCATAATGTTCGCCAAGTGATTATTCGAACAGAAAAGTAGCGGGGGGGCCTTGATGTTCGAAGAAGTGATGATTCAAACAGGGAGAACACTGGTGATGCCGATGATGCGGGAAGCCAAAAACAAAACGCCTGGAGAGGAACTGGGAAAGCAGAGGATGCGAAAAGCCAAAGCCGCCAAAAGCCGCATAAACCACCGAAAAGCCGCAAAAGCCAAAACGCCACCTGCCGAAGAGGAACTGGGAATGCAGAGGATGCGAAAAGCCAAAGCCAAAAAGCCACCAAAAGCCACATAAACCAACAAGAAGCCGAAAAGCCAAGAAGCCGAGAAGCCAAAAAGCCAAGAAGCCAAGAAGCCGAAAAGCCATGAAGCCAAAAAGCCAAGAAGCCCAAAAGCGAAAAAACAAACAAAAAACAAAGAAGGAAAACATCCTAAAACAAATACCCCTCCAACAAACTAGGGAAAGGGCTAAATTCACACAGCCTGATATCCTTGGGCCGAAAGCAAGCGGCAATGGCCAAGGGGCAATCAGAAGACCTTCTTCGAGTTCTAAGAAAACCCGAATTTTTGTGTGAATTCCTCCGCAAAAGACGTGCAATAATTTGAGTCCGAGCCACCACTAAACAAAAGACAACAAAGAACGGTTTGACACTTCAATGTATGGTTTGGGGCAGGTGAGTACTGTAAACGGGAACATTGTTCAACGGATGGCGTGTTGGTTTCCTTGCTGAGCCTGTCGCCAAGACACGCCGCCAGCATCAGCCCCAGCCTCTTGAGCGCCGAAAGGTCGGCATCGCTGGGGCTGAACGGCAGCTCCTCGCACTCAAGTTGAATGGGATCCGAGCTCGGGTCGTTCTCCCAGCTGGGATGATAGTTTGGTGTGGAACATCAACAAAAGGATATACCCATCTTGTTTCGGGTTCCTTCTGCGAAAACAACGACAAATTGGCTACATTCCCTCCGGCTAACATAATCAGCATTTGTGGGAGGGTACCTGCAAGATCAATGGCCTTCTCAATGGCACCTGGTCAGGTGCCATGTTACAACGCTAGTGGGAGGAAGGGCATTTGGCCATGAGTCAAAATCCCGGTTACCCCCCAATGAACATCCCAATCCCCCACTAAAATAGCTTCTTAAATGGGTGGTGAATTCACCTACCAACCTAAATTGGATCCCAAAACGATTTTGACCCACAGCCATTTCGCACCCAAGTTCGCACTCTTCACCTCCTCTCCTTGGGCAGCCGCGCCACTCGCTTCGTGAGCTCCTAGTCTCGAAAGTTGTTGCGGTCCCTGTTTCCAGTTGTTACCCTGGATCCCTGTTCCTTTTTTGCAAGGTGCGGGGGGCGTGAGCGGGAGGCGGGGGTGGGGGGGTGGGGGTGAGCGGGAGGGCGGAGGGGGGGAGTAAGGGGGGTGTAATGGTAAACGAAACAAAAGATTGATGGCATGAATCACAAACTTCTCTGGTCGAATCACGAGTGGATGCGGTTAGGAGATCTCTTTCAAAAGCTTACATGCCGCCAATGCTGCCGGAGCTCAACTTAGGAAAAGTCAACAATGGCAATTTGAAGACTCCAATGATGCTTCCTGTGCGAAGTCGTCACACACACACACACACACGCACACACGCAAACAAACACAACACACCAAAAGCTCACACAAACGCCCTCCATTTCTGTTGCTAAAGGCTGACCAGTGCTGTGGAAGACCGTGATAGCGACATGGCACTGCGCCACATACATTGAGAGTTTCCAAAGCACATCAGGTATGGTAGGACCCCCCTGCCATGGAAGAGACCCCAGAAACACAAGGAATGGCAGCCCTGGCATGAGGTTCTCCAAACTAGATTCTATGCGCCGTTGATAGCCTGTTCAAGATACCATACAATCTCCAGGGGCCATGCCAATGGACCAACCCGTAGCTGGCGTTTTTAACTAACCTCATGTTCACCTCTGCATGCGGCAATCGAGAAAAGACTGGCAGCCCAAGTCATGCCATGCGGGAACAGCGCCGGTATCAGGGGAAACATCATTTTGCACACGTTGTTCTTTTGGTGATCACGACGTACTTCAGTGTTCAAGGCCGCCACAACCCCATTGACGCAGACACACCGCTTCTTTGCAGCTTGCGAGGTGCACCCGCCTTGCCGCTCTGATCCAAGCCCAAGATCAGCCAATCAGAGAGATGACACTTCTCCAAGACCACTGCCACCTGGGCGCGTTCCACATGTAAGCCGTTTCTACTTGCCAGCCGCTTTAGAAGGACCACGGATATATATATATATATTGTATTTCATATGTCTCTATATATATACATACCTTTGGGACCAAGAAAACGGATAAGATGGGCCCGTTGCAAGAAACACCTTGCTGGGGAAACAGTGATTGCCAAGTAGCAACCGCCTTGCAGCCATTGGCAGGCGCAAAACCGCCTGCCTGCTGGTTGTGGCTATATGTCTACATTCTATGGCTGAGAATTCTATGAGGGAATC